GGCGTCTCTCCCATGGATAAGACGCCCCAATGGGGCGTCACATGTGACGCCCAAAACTGGCGTCACATTGTGCAGTAGATGTGTAATTTTTTACGAAACAACATTAAATGCGTAATTATTTTATTTAAATACAATATTTTAATTTTTTTGCCAATAATTATGACATCACAATTCCTATGCTAAAAGGGAATCTTCTTCATCTTATAAATAGACAATCTCACCTCTTTAAATTGAATCATTTTCTCCATCGCTCACCTTGCAAATGTTCTACCAAATTCTCTTCTCAACTGTAAACGAGCCCTTCACATCTTCCCCATCAGTCTTGACTTTCTTGAGGCCTGTATGATAACTCCTCGGTGCCTTGGTTTATACCATTGCTTCCTCAATCATCATCACATCAACATACTTCATTCTTTTGAAATACAGGGCTCTAATTTCCCTATCTGACAAGTTCAATCCCCGAGCAAGTCATCAAGCTTGGCGTTATAGCTAGAAGCATCATCTAAATTAAAATTCGTGAATTCAACTTTTAAGACCCATTGGCCCCACCATCAAAATCACTTTTTTGACATGTGGCCCAGTCAGGAAATCCTGCTGGCTAAATTTGTATGACTAGTCTTGCTTGATCAATCATGCAAACTCATTTAGCGGGTTGGTTTCTATTGGGCCATATGATAAATTGTCATTGGTCCTAGGTTTCACCCTATATAAACCTTACCCTTTTCATATTTTTCTCCCCCACCCCTCATTTTCACTATTTCCTTATCTCTCTAGTTTTTACCAATGTTATTAAAACCGGCCCGGTCATTGACCCGGTTGAGGTACTGGGTCACTGGTTCAACCAGTAGGTCATTGGTTCAACCGCATGACCTGGTAATTATATGCAATTTTATAATTTATATTAAAAAATTACAAACATACTCAAATATCTAAAAAAAATGATAAAATTTTCAAATATTTAATGTAAAAAGTAATAAATCACATATTATTATCTAATAAAAGATCAAACAAAAATATAATGATCGTGATACGGGACTTTAGGTTCAGAAAATGATATCCCTAACTATAAATTAATTCAAAATTTTCTGCATAGTACATAATTGAGATAATATTAATGTTGTAGGTACATAACTTCTGTAAGTCAATAAGCAAAAAATATTCAAATATGTTCATTATGATTTTTTTTGAAAAACAAAAATTTTGGATTTTTTTTTTTTTTTTTTTGGGACCGGGCCGAGTCACCGGTTAACCGACTGGGTCACCGATTTTTATGAAAACTGGCCAGGTCAGACCGGGTCGCATTGGTTCTGATGCATGACCGGTTCGTTGCTTCAACCGGACCGGTTAGATAACCATTTACCAGTTCTCGAGTCAACCCGACCGGGTCGGTCCGGGTTTAATAACACTAGTAATATGACTACTTGTCTTACCTGAAAAATTTCCCTATCTTGGTGAGGGACAAAAATACCCGAAAGTAACTTGTATTTTTTGTATACTTCGACAAAGTGAGAGATCTGCAAGATCTTGTGTAAAACTGCATTTGATTCTAGTGTTTGACCTAGGCAGCTGTTTTGGGTTCGTCAATTTCTGATATTTATTATTGTAATGGTAATGAATATAACAGAATTTTTTTAATCCAAAATTACGGGTGAAAGTCAAATTCACTGATGAATTAAGGTAGTCAATGTGAAATAGATTTTGTTTTGTAGTGTGATCATTGCACCACTTGTAGACATTGTTTTGTAGAGAAGAATTATAAAAGCAAGTACATTATACGGGCTATATAGCACTGCCCAATATCTTTAGGAGAACATCCCACAGTGCTTTGACCGGGATAGAAAACTAAAAACCATCTTTTTAATTGTAAGTTGTTAAATACATAACTATTGCCTTAAGTCTCCATCTATAAGTTAGACAAAATAAAATTCATGGGTTGTTTGTATTTAAATGAATCCAGTTACATAATCCTAAACAGCTATTATACCTAGAAAGTACCAATGTAAATTCTGCTGCTCGTGCATAGGTTGTGATATAAACTTGTTATTACTAAGAAAGAGACAATGAAGTCCAGCTCAAAAATCTCAAACTGAACTCCTCATAAGAACAATCCCAGTTAGGGATATGTAAATGGACTAGGCTGGCCTACAGGGACCTACGACTAGTCAATATTAAGTCAGGCTTGGCATATTACAAATAGTAAAATAGAACAGCCCTAGGTTTTTTTAAAAATCTATTTAGAAAACAGGTCATAGGCTTTTTTGAACATGTCGGATCTACAAGCTAAGGTCGGCCTATATCATATTATTTATTTTAAATAAAATAAATAAAATTATTATTTTAATAATTTAGAATAATAAATTAATATTATTTTAATTATTCTTTTAATTGTTGAATTTTTAATAAACTTAAACTGGCTAACATGTCAGGCTAAATCAAATATTTTTTTTACATATACTTGTGCCTCTTTAAGTCAAATCCTAGTCTAGTTTGTACTCTTTACACCCCTAATCCCATTAATTACACTGAAAAACATAAAGATAGAAACCCAAGAAGATTTGCCAACTTTTCTGGAAAAAGGTTTCCAAAATCCTCGGCAAAAAATTTGATTTATTGTTTTTTAAATAAAAAATTATGAATTTATGCTTGTTTTGAAAATAATTACATATTTATTGCATAATATCACACTCAATTTGGGTGTCACCAATCACGCCTAATTTAAGCGTCACTCATCAGGTGTTGACATGTGTCACATTTTTTTTTCAAAAAAAAAATTAACAATTTAATCATAAAACTTCTGAAGGACATAACTTTTGATTCGGGTATCCGAATCAGGTAATTTTTTTGATTCCACATAACTTTTCGAGATCTACGTAATGACACCTCATTTGACATATTTTATGTCTTACAAACACAATTTGAATTTGCAACAATGAGACTTTATCTTATAATCGTTAGATTGTGACCCAATAAATTAATAATTAATAATTAATTAATAAGTGTGACCCAATAAATTATAATCGTTAGATTGACGAAAATTAACGGTTAAGATATAGTAGTAACAAGTAATAAAAAAATAGTAATTATAACATTTCCCTTATTTATTTCTATAACAGCAGGAGACAATGCAGTTTAATATAAAATAAAAAGAAAAGTAATATGACAATAACATGCCCGAAACAATACGATAATATAATTTATAAAAAAATTATATTTGATTAAACTCCTAAATCCTAATAGTATGTTAAATTATTAAAAAATAAATAAGAGAACATAATAAAAGTAGTAAAAAGATCAGTAAAATTGATAAGTAATATAATTTGTATGAATCATTAAATATAAATAGAATAATAATGAAGGTAAGAGTTCTTATTTTCATATCGGTAAAAATTGCCATCATTAATTTCAGAACACGAATAATAACCTAGTAGCTTATAGCTTATGAATGCTTTTCAAAATAAAATCCTTCTTCCTTAGAGATTTAGAATATTTATTTAATTATTTCTTTTATTAATACAGATATTTTAAATTGATTTTTGAGTTTAATTCACAAATCAAATCTTTATTTTGTTTTCCTTATTAATAATAATTTTTTTATTTTAAATCACAAACCAAACTTTTTTAATAATAAATATATTTTTTAATTTAAATTAAAAATCAAATCTTTATTTATTTTTTTATATTAAATCACAAACCCAGAACTCAGAGGCTTCTGGATTTAACCGTTCTTATAATACAATTCTTGCAAATTTAAATTATGTTTGTGAGAAATAAAATATGCAAATGAGATGTCATTATGTAGATCTCGAAAAGTTATGTCGAATCAAAAAAGTAATTACCTGATTTGGATCCTCGAGTCAAAAGTTATGGCCTTCAGAAGTTTTACGAATAAATTATTTAATTTGTTTTTAATTAATTTTTTTTTGGAAAAAAAATGTGACACATGTCAACACCTGATGAGTGACGTCTAAATTAGGCGTGACTGCCTCTTGAGTGACGCTCAAATTGGGCGTGATATTGTGCAATAAATGTGTAATTATTTTCAAAACAGCCATAAAATCATAATTTTTTATTTTAAAAATAATAAATCAATTTTTTTGCCCAAAATCCTCAATCAAGTTCTAGATATCCTCCCCCTCTCTTTAGTTCAAAGTTGAAAGTTCAAACAACTGATATGCAAGCAATCAATTATATTAAATATTTAATATAATTCCAGTCCCGTCTTCAAAAGAATTCAAGGCTACCTCAGAAACCAATATTTGATTACAAATTCATAGACAAGCAGGAAAAATAAATTATTCATGAATCCTGATAACAAAATTCATAGACAAGGCAAGACATGACAGGGAATGTAGGAAGTTTAAATTTCTTCATCAATGAAATCCCAAAGATTGAAGCTAATACAATTGCAATGATTTGGTATATGGTATGCGACTGGCCTATGATTTGGTATAAGTTATTATTTTTTAAATCAAACTCATTAATTAATTATTAATTCGCAATAAATAATAACCGTTGATTGATTTGGTATAAGTTATTATTTTTTAAATCAAACTCATTAATTAATTATTAATTCGCAATAAATAATAACTGTTGATTGGCGGAAATCAACGGTTAAGATGTGGTCGTAACATTGTGCGTAACATTATTTATGTGTCACAATATCCTATCCCCTAGAATAATAGTAAGAATCCGAAAACATGGTTTTACTAATTGAAATATTGTGCTAGCTTAATCAAAATTTCGAATTTCTAATAGAAGTTGAACAAAAAGACCAAAAGCAGCTAAGCAGAACAAGAAATGAAGCTAGACTATAAATAAGGCCTAGTACTACAATTCACATAGCAGGAATTTAAACAAGAATATATAAGGCAACTTACATGCAATAACATAAAAGTGTGAACAAATTAACAGAGTCCTATGCTCGTAGCACAAGCTCTGGTACAAGCAAAAAAATAAAAATAAAGTATAAAAGAAGACATAAAGGAACTACTTGCAGCTTCTCAAATCCCATCTGTTACGGTTTCATTTACATGAAGTTCACAAGTTTCAGAGCCCCTTGTGCACATGGATAAGTTTTTGATCATCTCCATCTTTTCCCTTAGATTTGCGTATTTGCTAAGGCATATTGTCATGGTCCGTAAAAGTCTTGCATTTTGCATAATATATCTTGCAAATCGAAACTCACCATTAGAGCCTCTATAATTATTAAGACGACATGTTTGAAGGTGTAATGAAATGGATTTAGGAACGGATTGTGGGTATGGCCAATCTCCTCCATTGGATTCAACTACAAAATCACGATTCTGTAAACAATAGACATAATATAAAAATTACTAAAAATATGTTAACAAAACATAAAAAAAAAAAAAAACAGAAATCAACTTTAAAGGCTCAAACTTAGCAAACCTGATTAATGATAAGAACCTGAAGCAGGGGGCAATGCTTGAGCACTTCAACTAACTCAACCCAATTCATATTAAAATAAAAATAGGTGAGTTCGATATGTGTTAAATTATAAAATTCAGGAATAAGAAACTTGATGCTGGGGGTCATGTCCTTATCATTAACATCATCAAGCTGCAAGATTAATAAAAACAAAATATCAGAAATCCAAATTAAATTTCCTTAAAAATGAAAAGTAATGACATATAAATCAAATTTTCAGTACCCAATCTATGCGGAGAGACTCTACATTATTAACAGCTTCCAACGGAATATGAGTTTTAGAAATATACGCTCTGACCAACTTGGATAAGCTTTTACACTCTCCCACATTTAAAAGGTTATTACTAAAATACAAACCATTTGTTTCCAAATCCTCAAGAACTGGACAGCCAGAAAGAAACTCAGCCAGATATCTCCGTTCCAAGAAACGAACGAAGTTAAAATGCAAGATTTTAAGAGCGGGAAAATCAACACGCGAAAGAGATCTCACAGCTGATCCTATCAAATTGAGAACCACGAGAGTTCTGCTGCTGAGAATCGAAGACGGAAAACTGATAGTAGAACGCAAACAAAGTTCGAGGTACTCAATTCTACGTCTCAGTGCTGCAGTAACCCATATATTGACATTGGTGTCTTCACAATCATAAGACCAACAAGTGAGGAAAAATTCTTTGATAGGTTGGTGCAGTTCTCGCGATAAGATAACTGCGTACACTAATTGAACAAAGCGAGAATACTCCTCGTGGTTTTTAATATCGCGACAGTCATCAAAATCGAGAGTGGGGACAGAGAGCCAGAGAGGTTTCCACCTTTTGGAGAGAACGCTCGTAGTGATAGCTTCTCTGGTTGGCAGAAAAGAGAGAATGTGACAGAGAACAGCATCAGGCAAAGTGTTAATCCTGTTTTCCATTGTTACAACAATTTATAGAGAGAATGAATGTAGCAATTTTACAAACAAGTGAATCTTAGAAACGCTTCTCAAGTAGTTGTTTTGCCCAACTCAACAAATTCATTGAAGGCCTCAATAGCCTCTTTTGAGTTTCTCACCAGCCATCATGCCTCCCCACACCATGCATAAACAGAGAGCAATATGGGAAATTAGGGTTTGTTGGGTTTATGTTTTCACGAGTTGTTGATTCTAGTCGGGGGTGTTAACAGTATTGACCGAGTTTTGGTTTAAATAGGTTAGTTCTGGGTAAAAAATATTGGGCCTAGCCTGACTTATGTTTAAAATATAAAAACCTTGACTGAAGGTCTGTTAGTATGTTTAAGCCTATTAAATATTCAACAATTAAAAAATAAATAAACATTTGATTTGTGATTTAAATTAAAAAATAATTTTTTTTTATTTTTATTGTAAAAAAAATTGGTTTGTGGTTTAAATTAAAAATAAAAATAAAAATTATTATTAATAAGGAAAACAAAATAAAGATTTGATTTGTGATTTAAACTCAAAAATCAATTTGAAAAATCTGTATTAATAAAGAAAATAATTAAATAAATATTTTAATTCGTGATACGGGGCTTCAGATTCAGTAAATGACATCTTTAACGACAAAAAAAATTAATTTATTGTTTTTAAATAAAAAATTACAAATTTGTAGCAGTTTTGAAAATAATTACACATTTATTGCACAATATCACGCACAATTTGGGCGTCACCAATCACTCCCAATTTGAGCGTCACTCAAGAGGCAATCACGCCTAATTTAGGCGTCACCTCCTCAGGTGTTGACATGTGTCACATTTTTTTCCAAAAAAAATTAACAATTTAATTGCAAAATTTGTGAAGGCCATTACTTTTGACTCGTGTATCCAAATCAGTAATTCTTTTTTTAATTCCTCATAACTTTTCGAGATTTACGTAATGAAATTTCATTTGACATATTTTATTTCTCACAAACACATTAAATTTGCAAGAATGGTATTATAAGAGCGGTTAAATCCAGAAGCTTCTGAGTTCTGAGTTTGTGATTTAATATAAAAAAAATAAATAAACATTTGATTTGTGATTTAAATTAAAAAATAATAAATTTTTTATTTTTATTGTAAAAAAAATTGGTTTGTGGTTTAAATTAAAAATAAAAATAAAAATTATTATTAATAAGGAAAACAAAATAAAGATTTGATTTGTGATTTAAACTCAAAAATCAATTTGAAAAATCTGTACTAATAAAGAAAATAATAAAATAAATATTTTAATTCGTGATACGGGGCTTCAGTTTCAGTAAATGACATCTTTAACGACAAAAAAAATTTATTTATTGTTTTTAAATAAAAAATTACGAATTTGTAGCAGTTTTGAAAATAATTACACATTTATTGCACAATATCACGCCCAATTTGGGCGTCACCAATCACTCCCAATTTGAGCGTCACTCAAGAGACAATCACGCCTAATTTAGGCGTCACCTCCTCAGGTGTTGACATGTGTCACATTTTTTTCCAAAAAAAATTAACAATTTAATTGCAAAATTTGTGAAGGCCATTACTTTTGACTCGTGTATCCAAATCAGTAATTCTTTTTTTAATTCCTCATAACTTTTCAAGATCTACGTAATGAAATCTCATTTGACATATTTTATTTCTCACAAACACATTAAATTTGCAAGAATAGTATTATAAGACCGGTTAAACCCAGAAGCTTCTGAGTTCTGGGTTTGTGATTTAATATAAAAAAATAAATAAATATTTGATTTGTGATTTAAATTAAAAAATAATAACTTTTTTATTTTTATTGTAAAAAAAATTGGTTTGTGGTTTGAATTAAAAATAAAAATAAAAATTATTATTAATAAGGAAAACAAAATAAATATTTGATTTGTGATTTAAACTCAAAAATCAATCTGAAAATTCTGTATTAATAAAGAAAATAATTAAATAAGTATTTTAATTCGTGATGCGGGGCTTCAGATTCAGTAAATGACATCTTTAACGGCAAAAAAAATTAATTTATTGTTTTTAATTAAAAAATTACGAATTTGTAGCAGTTTTGAAAATAATTACACATTTATTGCACAATATCACGCCCAATTTGGGCGTCACTCAAGAGGCAATCACGCCTAATTTAGGCGTCACCTCCTCAGGTGTTGACATGTGTCACATTTTTTTCCAAAAAAAAATTAACAATTTAATTGCAAAATTTGTGAAGGCCATTACTTTTGACTCGTGTATCCAAATCAGTAATTCTTTTTTTGATTCCTCATAACTTTTCAAGATCTACGCAATGAAATCTCATTTGACATATTTTATTTCTCACAAACACATTAAATTTGCAAGAATGGTATTATAAGAGCGGTTAAACCCAGAAGCTTCTGTGTTCTTGGTTTGTGATTTAATAAAAAAAAATAAACATTTGATTTGTGATTTAAATTAAAAAATAATAATTTTTTTATTTTTATTGTAAAAAAAATTGGTTTGTGGTTTAAATTAAAAATAAAAATAAAAGTTATTATTAATAAGGAAAACAAAATAAAGATTTGATTTGTGATTTAAACTCAAAAATCAATCTGAAAAATCTGTATTAATAAAGAAAATAATTAAATAAATATTTTAATTCGTGATACGGGGCTTCAGATTCAGTAAATGACATCTTTAACGGCAAAAAAAATTAATTTATTGTTTTTAAATAAAAAATTACAAATTTGTAGCAGTTTTGAAAATAATTACACATTTATTGCACAATATCACGCCCAATTTGGGCGTCACCAATCACTCCCAATTTGAGCGTCACTCAAGAGGCAATCACGCCTAATTTAGGCGTCACCTCCTCAGGTGTTGACATGTGTCACATTTTTTCCCAAAAAAAATTAACAATTTAATTGCAAAAAATTTCTGAAGGCCATTACTTTTGACTCGTGTATCCAAATCAGTAATTCTTTTTTTGATTCCTCATAACTTTTCGAGATCTACGCAATGAAATCTCATTTGACATATTTTATTTCTCACAAACACATTAAATTTGCAAGAATGGTATTATAAGAGCGGTTAAACCCAGAAGCTTCTGAGTTCTGGGTTTGTGATTTAATATAAAAAAATAAATAAATATTTGATTTGTGATTTGTGATTTAAATTAAAAAATAATAACTTTTTTATTTTTATTGTAAAAAAAATTGGTTTGTGGTTTGTATTAAAAATAAAAATAAAAATTATTATTAATAAGGAAAACAAAATAAATATTTGATTTGTGATTTAAACTCAAAAATCAATTTGAAAAATTTGTATTAATAAAGAAAATAATTAAATAAATATTTTAATTCGTGATACGGGACTTCAGATTCAGTAAATGACATCTTTAACGGCAAAAAAAATTAATTATTTTTTTTAATTAAAAAATTACGAATTTGTAGCAGTTTTGAAAATAATTACATATTTATTGCACAATATCACGCCCAATTTGGGCGTAACCAATCACGCCCAATTTGGGCGTCACTCAAGAGGCAATCACGCCTAATTTAGGCGTCACCTCCTCAGGTGTTGACATGTGTCACATTTTTTTCCAAAAAAAAATTAACAATTTAATTGCAAAATTTGTGAAGGCCATTACTTTTGACTCGTGTATCCAAATCAGTAATTCTTTTTTTGATTCCTCATAACTATTCAAGATCTACGCAATGAAATCTCATTTGACATATTTTATTTCTCACAAACACATTAAATTTGCAAGAATGGTATTATAAGAGCGGTTAAACCCAGAAGCTTCTGAGTTCTGGGTTTGTGATTTAATATAAAAAAATAAATAAATATTTGATTTGTGATTTAAATTAAAAAATAATAACTTTTTTATTTTTATTGTAAAAAAAATTGGTTTGTGGTTTGAATTAAAAATAAAAATAAAAATTATTATTAATAAGGAAAACAAAATAAATATTTGATTTGTGATTTAAACTCAAAAATCAATTTGAAAAATCTGTATTAATAAAGAAAATAATTAAATAAATATTTTAATTCGTGATACGGGGCTTCAGATTCAGTAAATGACATCTTTAACGGCAAAAAAAATTAATTTATTGTTTTTAATTAAAAATTTACGAAATTGTAGCAGTTTTGAAAATAATTACACATTTATTGCACAATATCACGCCCAATTTGGGCGTCACTCAAGAGGCAATCACGCCTAATTTAGGCGTCACCTCCTCAGGTGTTGACATGTGTCACATTTTTTTCCAAAAAAAATTAACAATTTAATTGCAAAATTTTTGAGGGCCATTACTTTTGACTCGTGTATCCAAATCAGTAATTATTTTTTTAATTTCTCATAACTTTTCGAGATTTATGTAATGAAATCTCATTTGACATATTTTATTTCTCACAAACACATTAAATTTGCAAGAATGGTATTATAAGAGCGGTTAAACCCAGAAGCTTCTGAGTTCTGAGTTTGTGATTTAATATAAAAAAATAAATAAACATTTGATTTGTGATTTAAATTAAAAAATAATAATTTTTTTATTTTTATTGTAAAAAAAATTGGTTTGTGCTTTAAATTAAAAATAAAAATAAAAAATATTATTAATAAGGAAAACAAAATAAAGATTTGATTTGTGATTTAAACTCAAAAATCAATTTGAAAAATCTGTACTAATAAAGAAAATAATAAAATAAATATTTTAATTCGTGATACGGGGCTTCAGTTTCAGTAAATGACATCTTTCACGACAAAAAAAATTTATTTATTGTTTTTAAATAAAAAATTACAAATTTGTAGCAGTTTTGAAAATAATTACACATTTATTGCACAATATCACGCCCAATTTGGGCGTCACCAATCACTCCCAAATTTGAGCGTCACTCAAGAGGCAATCACGCCTAATTTAGGCGTCACCTCCTCAGGTGTTGACATGTGTCACATTTTTTTCCAAAAAAAATTAACAATTTAATTGCAAAATTTCTGAAGGCCATTACTTTTGA